CACAGATCCAATATACCCCTGATACTCCACGAGTAGTGGATATGATTAAACACGCGTTGGGGAGGTGCGCGCGCCCCCATTTAGGAGGCCCGTCTTCATTGGGCGATAAATATATGTGGGGCAGAAAGCTCTTGGCCAGCTCTTAGCGTGATTTCACAAATGTTTGAAATCAGACAAACACAAAACTTTTAATTAAAAACTTTTTGGCTCTAATGCGATGCTAGATGCTAGAGCATCGATAGCACCGGAAAGCCCGTCTCCAAAAGAACAGTTGTGGGGACTCTCCCCAGAGCGGACCCCAACAGGTGGTTAAGCGAGTGGAGTGAGAGCGGTTTCAGGGCTGTAATCTAATCAGGAAACGGCCCAGAGAGAGAGAGAGAGAGCCCTGCCCATAAATAGCCGGGTAGGGCGGGTCGTTTCTCCAGTCGTTCAAGATGAGTCTCAGCGAAAAGGTGGTGATCGTAACGGGCGCAAGCAGCGGTATTGGTGCAGCCATTGCCCAGGTTTTGGCCCGCGAGGGAGCCCTTCTGGCGCTGGTGGGTCGCAACGTAGCTAACCTGGAGGCCACCCGGAAGACCCTACAGCAGCAGGTGAAGGGCATTCGGGCGGAGATCATAGCCGCGGACGTGACCAAGGATGCAGCGGCCATTGTCCAGCAGACGATCACTCAGTTCGGCCGCATCGATGTGCTGGTAAACAACGCCGGAATCCTGGGCAAGGGCGGCCTCATTGACCTGGACATCGAGGAGTTCGACTCGGTGCTAAACACGAACCTGCGCGGCGTCGTCCTCCTCACCAAGGCGGTGCTGCCACATCTCCTGCAGACCAAGGGAGCCGTGGTCAATGTGAGCAGCTGTGCCGGTCTGCGACCCTTTGCGGGCGCTCTCAGCTACGGTGTATCCAAGGCGGCCCTCGACCAGTTCACCCGGATCGTGGCCCTCGAGATGGCCCCACAGGGAGTGCGCGTCAACTCGGTGAATCCCGGCTTTGTGGTGACCAACATCCACCAGCGCATTGGCATCGTCGATGAGGAATATAACGGCATGCTGCAGCGGGCCATCGCCTCCCATCCCATGGGCCGTGTTGGGGACGTGTTCGAGGTGGCCGAGGCCGTAGCCTTCCTGGCCAGCTCCAAGGCCAGCTTCACCACCGGCGCTCTCTTCCCCATCGACGGCGGCAAGCACAATCTGACGCCTCGTTAATCATCCGCCGCCTCCGACCCTAATTATACTCCCTCTTATATTTTCCATTTCCTCTCCCTTTTTTTTCAATAAATAAATAATAAGCAACCGTCTTTGAGGAGGAGTCATCTCTGGGTCTATCGAGGGGCTGGGACTGAGGGTGACCCCGAAATGACCGTCATGGGTTTGCTGTGTCAGACACTTGACAGACTCGTTATCTATCCATCAGCCGAGACTGATAAGATGCACTGTCAGCAACAGCAGCAGCAGCAGCAGGGGAACATGTTTGCTTTTTGGGGTAATCTCCGGTAGAGGAGCCTTATCAGAGACACTCCAAAATAACAACAGTCGGAGGGGGGCTGGTACATGGGGAGCGTGTTGGACGCGTGTTCGACCAATGTTTTGTCCCGCCTCCGTGCGGTGGTAATGTAGGTCATAATTTTCATTGTATCCCCTAGTCACAAATAAAACAGGTAAATATGCGTGGGCTTTGGGACAGCTTTAGCAATCGTGGTGGAAAGCTCAGAGCATGTTTTCAAGCTTTGAACTTTGACTTAAACAGCCATAAGATTAAGTTTCAAATGTAAAAACATTTCAAGTCAGAGGGCGTGAGCTTTTAACTAGTAAAAGCCTACCGAAGGTCCAAAGAATGCGCTTGAGGTTTCACTTGATACCTTCGGTTAATGACTGATAATGAAGACATTGTAAGCTTGCAATTCAAAGAGAGATTTCAAAGAAGGATCAAAGGTATCAAAATATATGTAGCAGGGACTGTAACCACACAATACAAATTAGAAATACATAGAGTATAAAAATAGAAGGGGGCAAGCCCCCTGCGCATTTGTTTCGCTTGTGCGCCAATATGCTGGCCGCTTCGGCATACCCATGCTATTTCGTATGCGACTGACTGTAACTGACTTGTAACTCAAATGCCAATGCTGTAGTAGTAATTAATTTTAAAAACATTACACCTTATACAGTGGCGGACCGTGAAATGTGGACACTTATGTTAAATAACTTTCAACTGATCGCGCGTATTCAAAATCCTTAAAGTCAGTCGGGAAACATTTTTATTGTGTAGATAAATCCATTAGCTGTTAATTAACGTCTCTTTTTCATAAAAAAAAAACAAAAAGTGTCGCCTTCAGGAGACAAGACTTAACCGTCTTCGACCAGCATGTTGCTACAGAAAGGGCGCCAATGGGCCAAACTCAACGAAACTTGGACTGTAAATGATTGCAGAAACGATATGTTTTTAATAAACTTAAGATAAACCCGTTTGGTTGGTAAATATGACAAATGTCCGCCAGAAAGTCGGAGAACGCTAAAAAACGACTGCCTGAAACGAACGATGTGGCAAGGAGGCAGCAGGATGGTCTGGGTATGTTTTTTTTTTATACCCGATACTCAAAATGAGTATTGGGGTATATTAGATTTGTGGTAAAAGTAGATGTGATCCAGAAGGAATCGTTTCCGACCCCATAAAGTATATATATTCTTGATCAGCATCAATAGCCGAGTCGATTGAGCCATGTCTGTCTGTCCGTCTGTCCGTCCGTCCGTCTGTCCGTCTGTCCGTCCCCTTCAGCGCCTAATGCTCAAAGACTATAAGAGCTAGAGCAACGAAGTTTTGGATCCAGACTTCTGTGATATGTCACTGCTACAAAAATATTTCAAAACTTTGCCCCGCCCACTTCCGCCCCCACAAAGGGCGAAAATCTGTGGCATCCACAATTTTAAAGATACGAGAAAACAAAAAACGCAGAATCGTAGAGAATGACCATATCTTTTAGACTGCAGAATCTGAATTGGATCGTATTACTATTATAGCCAGCATCAAGAAAACAATTTCATTTTTTCTCGCCCTGTCTCTCTCTAACACACAGGTAGCATAGGCGGCTTTGCTTAGAGTAAAACATTAGCGCCTAGATCTCAGAGACTATAAAAGCTAGAGCAACCAAATTTGGTATCCACACTCCTAATATATCAGACCGAGACGAGTTTGTTTCAAAATTTCGCCACACCCCCTTCCGCCCCCGCAAAGGATGCAAATCTGGGGATATTCACAAATCTCAAAGACTATTAACGCTAGAGTAACCAAATTTGGAATCCGCACTTCTCTTAGATCTCACTATAAAACGTGTATCTCAAAATTTCGCCCCACCACCTTCCGCCCACACAAAGGACGAAAATCTGTTGCATCCACAATATTGCAGATTCGAGAAAACTAAAAACGCAGAATCATAGATAACGACCATATCTATCAGATTGCTGAATCTGGATCAGATCAGATCATTTTTATAGCCAAAAGGAACAAATCAATTTGCAGTGGCTACGCAGCGCCCGACGTCACGCTCAGACTGATTTTCTGTCTCTCTCGCACGCACTCTTTGTCGTGTCGTTTAATATTAGCGGCGCTGCCGGAGGAGAGCCATACTGACTTAGTATCGGGTATAACTGTAGAGTTGCGGTGTCCGCAGCAACTCACAACGTTCCCCCTCGTTTGTTATAGACTTTGGTATCTGACACGAACTTAAGGATACTGACACATACATATGTACTTCCACATATGACGATTGTGCTCATTGCCATTATCAAAGATTAGTCAGAAATATTTTTATTTTTAACTTTGTTTTTGTACTGTGCTATGATTTATTTCAGAGGTTTGATTTTTCCAACTAAAATTATATTTAACAAATTATATTCAACAATGGAGGGAATTAGGACATTAGACTGGCCGGAAAATGGTCCTGTTCTGAATCCGATGGAGAAACTTAAGCACATCATGAACGTTTTTATATGATAGCAGAAACCCAATACTATATCTACATCGAAAAAGACAATTGGAAAAATGTGGTATAACGATATAAACATCGAAACAATCTGCAATATAGTAGATACCAAGTCTTCGCGTAGAAAACTAATTATAAAACACAGAAGAGGTTCAAAAAAATATGAAACTAATTTAATATTTACTCCAATATTCACAGACTTCAACGAAATAACAGAATATTTTATTTCCTGAACAAAAACCTGCAATTCATATTTTTACAAGTATGCGAAATAAAACTGATCAGAGCCGGAGTTCCCCAAGACAGCGTTCTTTGGCCCATTTTGGCCCTCGGAACTTCCTGAATCTCGCGGCAGTGGAATGTTGGGCCAAAAAACGGAATATCACAATAAAACAAGAGTAAATCCTTCAATGTAAACTTTACTATCAGAAGTAAACATCCACCAGAGCTAGCCTTCAATGGAAATTTTATCCCGTGCAAGAGTAGTCACTGCCAGCTGGGAGTCGACTTCGACTGTTTCGGTCAAGGAACAGCTCCGTAAGCTCCACTGATCCAGGAGAAAGCTTTCAACGAAAGCCACAATCACCTTCAGGCTGCGGACAGTTTTAAGCTCCCATTTCCACCCATCTGTATGAAAACTGCCCGGAAAGCTAACTTTCTAACTAAATCCACGAATGCCACAGCTTACTGATGTTCCAATCTTCAGAGCTTATATCAAAAGATTTGATTCAAATCATACAAAATATATACTGGTGGGATGTAAACTTCAATAAAAAGCTCGTACGAAAACCACCCACGCTTCGTTTGTATCTCTTTCCGATGACAAAACCCTTAAATACGGAATGTTTTTTTGGTCATGGAAAGCTCCGTAAGCTCCACTGATCCAGGATCAAGCTTTCAACGATAAGCACACACCCCCGATGGCGGGCGGGAAGCTTTAAGCTTCCATTGCAACCCCTCTGGACGAAAGCTAGCAGTGACTTTCCATGGCTACTTCATGTCAGTCAGTGCGTCAGAAACTGTCGCAGGGCGCTCATCGTGCGGCCCAAATCCTCCCCCGGGCTGCCAAAGTGGCACAGACACACACACAAAGCGAGACAGAGCGAGCGAAAGCGTACGACATACAAAGAGGGTTAGAGAGAGCGAACAACAGTGGGAAGCAGCAGGCGCTGGTCCAGCTGGCATAGAAAGCGGAACTGGCCACCGATTGATTTTTCTTTGCAAACGGGAAACGCGGAAAAGTAAACCATACGTAAACAGAACGCAGAGTCTAAGCCTGCGATTCCATTTAGAAATGGAGGAGGCACTGCAGTTGACCGAGGCGGAGGCCACGGAATCAATGGAATCATCCCCCGTTGAAGGCAAGCAGCCTGTGCATGAGGCGAACAGCTGCCACGACAAAGCTGCCACATATCCAGAGGAAACCGAGAACGAGACGGACCCCGAGCACGATCCAGAGCCAGAGCAGATGCTTAGCGAGAGGTGGTCCCCGCTAGGAGCCAACTACGATGACGCCAATAGCGCCAGCTCCGGGGTGGACTGCGAGCTGGAGCCCACTTTGCTGGGCCTAAGTCTGGAGAAGAGCAGCCCCGGCAATGAGACGGAGAATGCCAGCGAACTGGCTCGCCTCCGCAGCATCGAGGAGGAGCAGGAGCTGCTCACCAGCTCCCTGCTGGCCCTAACCTCGCACTTTGCCCACGTCCAGCTGAGGGTGCGACAAATTGTCGAGGCTCCCGCGGAGGAGCGGGACCAGTTGCTGCGGGATCTGGATGACTTTGCCTTCCAGGGCATTCCCGATGCCGGCCTCGGCCAGAAGAAGGGCTCCGACGCGGAGCCGGAGCGGGAGACGGAGACCGATGGCCAGCTGATTGAGCAGCTCAAGTCGCAGCTGACGGAGCTGGAGCAGTTGGCATATGAGGCCGGGGAACCGGGCATCCTGCCGCAGCATGTCCTCCTCGAGAAGCAGAAGTTCATCCTGGACGAGCTACGGGCCAAGCTCAATCTGCAGGTGGAGCAGCAGGATCTGCCATCGCTCAGCACGGATCAGCTGCGGCACCAGGTGGACAACGCCATCGGGGAGTTTGTGGGGCCGCTGAAAATGAAGGAGCAGCTGGTGGCCCAGCTAAAGACACAGATCACCGACCTGGAGCGCTTCATTGCCTTCCTGCAGTGCGATGCGGCCGGCTCCGGTTCGGGCTCCACTGCCAGCGGCAGCGACAGGCTGAAGCTCCTCTCCGGAGCCTACAACAGCTATGCGGCCAAGCAGACGGCCCGTTCCCAGGTCTCTTTGCCCGCTCCGGCGGAAACTTCTCCTCCATCTCGTTCCTATTCCCATTCGTCAGCCCTGCCCGTGGCCCAGGCGGGCGAGAGCCTGCATAGCAAGGCACACGGATTGCTGGACAAGGCCTCCATCCTTATGCAGATGTTCGCCAGCACGCACCTGGCCAAGCCGCGCGAGGACTTCCAGCAGAACACCCTGAAGAAGACGCACAAGGGTAATCACTGGGGGTAGGTGTGTCCTCTCGTTTGTGCTCTCAAAATCTGAAGCTTCCTTATATTCCAGGGATCTTCGTGCCCAGCTGGAGGTGGATATCCAGGAGGTGGCCGCCTTGGCCGCCACGCTCAGCTGCGACCGCGAGAAGTTGGCCAATATCAAGCGGGCCCTGCGACAACAGCAGCAACAGCAACAGCAGCAGGCGGGATCCTCGAGTACATGCCTCAATCCCCAGAACGGAGCGTTGATTACCTTGCCACCGCGCTGCAGACGGGCCGTGGCCGCAGGCCATGAGCTGGCACCATATGCCGCGGCTGCTGCGTCGGCAGCCACCTCCTCCGACTCAGAAGAGGAAGCCAGCTACGACCGCTTCGAGTGGGAGAAGGAGATCAAGGGTCTGAGCCTGGGAAGGCGTATCGTTCACATGCGCGGCGACTCCATAGCCACTATCGGACGCGAGCTGACGACCGTGGTGCGCAAGAACTTTGCCCGCACTGTGCAGCAGCTGATCCAGCATGGCCTGAGGATTCCCGCCGAGTCGGCGGCCTCCAGCCTGATGGTGCCCTTCATGCGATGCCTGCATCCGGGGACGCAGCGCATGGCAGCACCGTCTGCCCAAGAGTCGCAGTTCCTCGGTCTGGGCCGGGGGATGCACGCCTGGGAGCTGATCCTCGAGTACTACCAACTGAAGCATGGCGAGGAGTACAACAACACACCAGCGAGAAAGCTCTCGCTGAGCTTCCAACTGGACATTGTCGATGCCCAGGCTGTGACGGCCAAACAGAGCCTGCTCAGCACAGTGGGCATGATCCTGGCCATGCACAAGCCGTACAAGCGCAGCCACAATGCCCACTTCAAGGCCTTTGTCTGTGCGGGACTGAAGTGAGTATTCCTCCAGCTCGATTTTCCATTGAATTCAATCCTTTCCTTTAATTTTGACAGCTCCCATCTGCTGGTGGAGTGGCTGAATCTGATCCTCAGCTGCAACGAGCTGATTGATACCTACTACTCGTCCACCAGCTATGTGGCCCGCACTGGCTTCCGCGACTCGTTGCGCTCCATCGACGCCCTGTCCAAGTTTGACTTTGATCTGCCAGTGGACCTGGCCATCCGGCACTTCCGCAACATCTAAAGAGGAAGGAAAGATCTAGACGCTAACTGAGAACTCTTATTCATGTGTATGATATATTTTTGACCAGGATAGGGAGCCAGAATCCTGGAAACTAGTCCAAATCGTACTCTCGTACTATTCCCTCACTTATGTATAAATTCGTGTATATAACCTTAGATATGCCCCATTAAATCAATTGCTAATCCTACCTAAACTCGCTGCCGTAGAAGTCATACAGGCACTTGCTCAGCTTTTCTCCCAGCGGTCGCTCCAAAGCCCCGCATGTGATTCCCGCCAGCAGTCGCCTGGCTTGGTCCACCTCTTCACACGCCTCGTAAGCATCCAGGAGGAGACGCGGCGTGGGATAAAGCTCCACAATGGCCAGGGCTCGCTCCATTGAGAGAGAATGCAGTTGAAGCAGCTGCTGGACGAATACCTCGCGCACCGTCAGATGGGCATTCTTGGCCGAGTCCTCGTACAGGTCCCGGAACTTCAACAGACCAACACGGCGGTCGGTCAGACAGCTGGACGATCCCAATGCGGCTCGATCCACGCTGTGGAGGCTCTTGCTGAGAAAAAGTTGCCGCAGCGCTCGGCTCATCCCCGCCAAGTAGCACATGCTACGGTAGTGGTTCTCTGTCCGCACCACCTGGATGCCTGACTGGATGCGGGTGTTGGCCAGCGCCTGGAGCAGCGAGTCCAGGGGCAGGCCAAGCTGCTCGTTGTCCCCATAGTCCTCGATCAAGTAGATCACGTTTGGCAAGCCGCACTGCCGGAGACGGTGCTTTTGCTCGTGAAAGCGGCCGTCGCGGATGCTCGAAGCCAGGTCGTCCATGCGCTTGCGCTCGACAATGTAGGGCAGGACAAGCTCGCTGCCGTCCGCATCGCGGGCTATCCATAGAAAGTCGCCGACGGTGAGGCGACGCACCTCGTGGTCGGCGCCCAGGGACTGCAGGTAGCTGCGCGTTTGGTCGAGGACGCGCTTGTTCTTGCCACTCGTCTCCTGGGTATCAACCAGGAGCAGTACCTCAAAGCTGTCCGGCAGCATCTCCACCACTCGCTCACGTTCCTCGGCTGCAGCCTGCTCCAGCTGGGCTTTTTTGGTCGGCTTCTTGGCGGGGTCCTTCTTTGTCTTCTGCTGCTTCTCCTGCACCGCCTTGACTACCTGTTGCACCTGCTCTTCGTACTGGGCTGTGGTTGTCTGCGGCTGTGGCTGGCTGGCTGCCCGGTGCTGCCGTAGCTCCTCATCGATCAGCTGGCACAAGGTGCCACCGAATCCACGCAGAACGGAGCAGTCGCGCCCACTGTACAGCGGCAGCGGATAGCTCTTCAGAGCCTCCAGGGCCTGTCGCAGCTTGTGCTGGGACCTCTGCTGTCGGCGTTCCGCCTCACGAAGCCAACGCTCCAGCCAGCGGGTGAACAGCGGATTGGGCTCTCGCAGACGCACCTCCAGTCGTGTCTCCATTTGGGATTTATACAAATTAAATTGCGATTGTGCAATGATTGGGTTCACTCTTTGCTAGATTTGCGCCTTCTTTTGACTGCATATCTGGTGATGGTAGTTTGGCATTCTGCATGCTTATCGATAGTTGCGGCACTAGAATCCGTGAACTTGATTCGACATTTGACGGTATTTAATACCAAAAGATTGTTTTAATTTTTACATGAGCCAAGTCACTGAGGTAATAAATTATAATAATAATAATTAATAAAAATAAATAATAAATTTGCAACGCATATTATTAAATAATGGTAAAATATGCATGTTTGCTTGGCACACACCAACAAGATCACTCTATCGATAGTCAGTATCTGATTCGCAGTTTTACAATCGATTGCCCGCGCATCTCTACACCGTGCAGTTTTGTTTCTGTTTTTTATTTGTTTTTATTTATTTCACGACATTCGCAATACGGTCAACTGTAAAATGTGACAAAGCAGTGTCACCTAGTTACCAACAGCGGCATTATGATAGCCCTGAACATATTCACTACCAAGATGACTGAGTTGGACCAGCCACGCCGTTTCAGATTGAGGTTTTCTCCATTTCTAAATTGACCAGCAGTTTCCCATAATCAATGTGTACTTGACGGATGTAGTGAGCTAGCCCTGTCCCAGAACTTTGATGTCGTACATGCTATACGCATACTCCATCCTCTCCGCAGAGACAGCTGCTCTTCCGCATGCTCTACCTGCATTCCTGTTGTCTCTTTCAGATTGACTGGAAGTCATGCGGATTTTTTTTACTAGATCTAGAGCAGGATCAAGGCGCCTTACGCTGGACACCTGTTAGAACCTGGTCACCTGTGGTGTTTCGCCCAAGATGGGCCCAAATGAAGCTTCTCCTCAAGCATGTCCATCCCTTTGTGTTAGAACAGGAGAGAAACTACAAGCTCATGTATTTCCTATATTATCTAAATAGAAATTGTATGCAAAGAAAACCTAGGGCAATCCAAACTGGATAATACTATCAGGCAGGCTCCGTTTTTCACTTGCTCTTGCGGATTACGTTTTCAGCCAAAACGTTTCGTTTTCGTTTTAGGGTACTGTTGTTGTTGCCCTGGCCATTTTTTCCGAGCCAAATAGAGGTTGGGTTAAAATAAAATTATTTATAAAGAAAGCAAAAGTTATATTACCCCGATATAGATATCAAGTTTATGTTAATGCATCAATAAGTCATCTATTTTTTTTTTCGTTTGACATTAAGGCTCGTGTCGTTGTATAAAAAACCGTTTACTTTTCATTTCAACAAAAATGTTTTCGTTTTGAAAACGAATAAATCTTGCGGAATGTGAAAACGGGCGCCCCAATTTATGTGTATTCAAAAGGAGCCTGGCTGTACATATATTTCAGAGGTTTTGTTCCGACTTGTTAGTCTGAAATTTAATTCCATCCATTTGGTTTTTTTTTTAAGGAATGTATTACCCATTCGATCAGTCTCAAAGTGAACTGAAATAAATGTAAGATTTGATTAAACAAAATGTCTTCCCAAACTCTAAAAAACTCGACCCAAAGATTTTAGTATATTCATGTAATTAGTTTTCTTTTTTATTATTCACTTTAACAAGCAAAAACATTCAATATAGTGTGTGTTTTGTGTATACATATACATACATATATATATAGGTTCATAATCGTATATACGAGTATATCTAATGTCACGCTTTTCAGACGGGATTGTTGCACTGCTCCCGTCCGCCCACCATTGGGCCATGGCAACATTTGTGTGCTGTATGTATGCGTATTCTGGTTGGATCTGGATTGGATTGCTGCCTTTTGTATATAGTATATAGACTTAACTGTTTAGCTTCGCAAATTAGTGATAACATATACATATGGAGGATATATCCTGCTTCATCTATATCGTCGTCTTACGTAAATGCAAGCCTTATACTTTTGCGTTACATAATACATACATATATATTGTATATACATATATATGGTATATATATCATTTGTATAGAGGTGTGTGGGAGTGTGTGTCTGTATATATATGTAAATATGTTGAGCAAATCAATATTTTGTGTTTTTCAGCGCGAGTGCCGCCCCCGAAAAATCTTATGCTAAATAGTTGCTTCTTTGGATTTTCTCATTTTGTTATTGGATTTGTTCTTGCTCTAAATATTACGCTTACAAAAATACAGATCATCTCAAATACTTGTCAATGCTTCACAGTTGTACACAGTTATACATACATATATAGAGCCACATACAGAGTAATACGGCGTGTTGCATACACACATACATATACATACATGGTTATACTCTCCCGATCCGATCTCTCCCATCTACTAATACTTGGATCGCCTCTGCTTCCGCTTCCTTTGCATTTTATTTAGCAACTGTGTTTTTTTTTATTTGGTGCTCGGCTTTAAGCGGTGCTCCAAAACATGAATCCTTTGGAGATTCGATTGCAGGCTGGATCTAATCCTCCGCTCTAGAGGATCGGTCACTGCTTTCGGATAATGGTAAATGCATTTAGAAGCTTTTCGTCTGCTTGTAGTACAATATTTGTGCTATAATTTAAGTACAGTCCAGGCCCGATAACTAGAAGCACCTTTTAACTAGACCGACAAAAAAAGTATTTCTTATTTCTGGACGTTTTCATTTGATTTGAATTCTTTGGTTTCAAGAGTACACACGAATTATAAGTTAAGGGGGAGATGACGTTAGCATTTTGAGATGCCTGGGAACATCACGTTATTTTGTATAGTTTTTTCCATCAATTAACTACGGTGTGCGGTGCGTCTCAAAACTGTATGACATGTGGAATTGGGAGAGCTTTTGAGATCATTAAATACGGCGAGTATACACATTATTGAGTATCTTCCACTTGAATTTAGTTCTTTTATACACTATCAATTCTGAAGTTATTCGAGAACATACCAATACATGTTATCAAATAGATAGATCTTAAACTCTAAATCTATGTTATCGAATTGATTCAGAATTGAAGGTGTATATGGATAGCTCCACACCTAATACTGCTATATATACCTGTCCGTAGCGTAGCGAACTGTACTACACCATTTCACTTGAAAGAGCTCTTTTGATAATGGGAATATTTGAGCCACAATTTTTCAGAGCATCGAATTCTAATCATAATCGAGCATCCTCCGTGCGTATAGTATATAAATACATATATGTATATATCTTTATAGATTATGGAAATAAGCTCTCTCTCTCACACACACGCATATCTATACATACTTACACGCACACACTCTCTCACACACACGGAAAGACATAGGCACAACCTAAGCAACATTTTTGGAAAGAGTTTCAAAACGAGTTTTCAAGACTTTTTTGTGGGAAAATTAACCTTTCAGCTTATTTTTGTGTGTCCAAGCTTTCAAGAAACAGTCTTCATCTTCAGCTTCAGCTTTGTCTTTTTTTTGTTTTTGGTTTTTTTTCGGGGTTTCTTCCGGGAGAGAAACATAACAGTGAAAGTTGCTTGGGGATGGGTATAAGGGGCCTTTGGGCGTTCGCGAAAGGGCTATTGAAAGGTTCCGAATGCTCCCGAAGCACGTGTCCCATTCTATGCACGTGTGTGCGTCCATATAGAAGGACCAAACGAAGGATCGTTGGATAAGCAGGCGAAAAAGAAGAGATACTCGGAGATCCTTGTGACACGGGAGTTCCCTTAGTCGTCGTCCGACAGATTCGTGGTGGTAAGCAGCGTGGCATTGTCTTCGGCTCCCTGCTCCTCAATGTCCTGTAAAGAAGTGGCAGAGAGAAGTCTTTCAGTTACATATTTTCTTAGATGTTTACATCCCCTCCCCCACATCTATCAGTCAGAGCATTCTTCAGTTTTTCTTATATAAAATATATATATTTATACATATATTTAGCAATTGTGTTTTTTTTTTGTCTGCTTCGTTTACAATCTTCGTCTGCTGCTCTGGTTCTTTTATCTTCAACATTCTTCAGATTTAATTTCTTTTAAGTGGTTTTTCGTTTTTGTTTTATAAAAAATAGTTTTACATGCAAATAGGACGATTGGAAATTGTTGTTGTTGAAATAATTTACTTATTACAAAGAGATTGGAACCAAAAAACACACCACGCACACATGCAGGTTTTTTTTTGTGTATATTATATAAAAATAAAAAAAATTTATTAAAAAAAAATTATATAAAACTTAAAATGAAAACAAAACATTTAGGCTAAAAAAAATTAGGTTTCAAAAATAGTGTCATCGCGTGCCGGAAAGTGGTTCTCTTCTGGTTCTGTGTTCTTCTCTGAGAAATTGGTAAATGCAGCGGAAATGTGCCTCGGTAGCGTAGTGTAGTTGTTGCAGGTTGCATCTGGAGCTGGAGCTGGGATCTGGAGCCGGGCCTTGACTTTGGCCGAGAATTACATTTACATTTACATTGGGGTCTGTCAGTGGTGCTGCTCTCTCGCTCTGGCTATCTGTCTCCTCTCGGATTTTGATTGGATTGGTTAAGACTGATTTTGGATTGGATTGGAAGTGTGCGGAAGATTTTGTTGCTAGGTGGAGAGAGTCGTCGATGGCTTGGCCGCCGGTCCCTCTCACTTGAGCTTCTGCTTGACGGGACTGGGCGACGGCTGGTCCGCCTCGGGCAGGTCGCTCTCCTTCTTTCGCTTCACCTTGTCCTTTGGTGCCTTGATGGCCTTCTTTGAGGACTGGGCCGCCAGTAGTTTGGCCTCGCGCTTCGCTTCACGCTTGGCTTCACGCTTGGCGCGCAGCTGTTCGGTGATGAAGGAGAACACGAGGTAGCCCTGCAGGGCGATCAAACCGCCGAGGGCCAGCAGGGAGCGCAGGCCCCCGATGCCGTAGTAGAGGGTGAGCACACCAATCACCGAGGTGGCGAAGCGTACCAGGAAGAAGCAGGCATTGTTCACCACGCGGAGGCGGGCCAGACGCTCCTCGCGATCGAAAACGCCGATCAGCTGGAAAACGTGCGAGAGCAGCTCGCTGAAGTAGTGCAGCGTGAGCAGGACGAGGGCCAGCCGCTGGAAGCTCAGGGTGTAGGCGATCACGATGAGGCTGAATCCGCTGATGGAATGTACGATCTTCGGCTGCTGCTCCTCCCTGGTGCGGATCTTCTGGAAGTACAGCTCCGGCAGCATGTGCAGGTAGTACGCCAGCTGGATGATGAAGTAGAACTTGTGCAGGAAGCTCATCGGATGGCTGGGGAAGCTCTCCCACAGCAGTGCCACCTGGCCCAGGTAGCCCTCGCGCAGAACGACGTGTGCCCCCCACACGAATGAGAGCAGGTAGAAGGCCACTAGCTGGCCGGATTCGTTGAAGCGGGCCAGCTTGAACTTGGAGAGGTGCAGTTTCTTGCTGATCTTATCCAGAACGAATTCTTGGATGATCGCGTGCATGATGATGCAGGTCAGGGTGTAGAAGAAGATCGAGCAGTAGTCCTTGATGCCGGCTACATAGGTGTAGGCCTTGCCGTAGGGCTGCTCCCTACTGGGGTCCTCCCCGCTGACGTTGTGGTGCAGCGAGATGAAGGCGCTGGCGAAGGAGGCCGTCGACTCGTTCATCAGGCCCACCACGAAGACCATTGCCACACAGGAGATGATGTCCGCATGGTTTTGTATCACGAACTCGTGGCTCAGGATCGGCGGGTTTTTGTTGCTGGGCTTGCGTCCCAGACCGGGTTTAATAGCCATCTTCCTGGAGGAGTTTGGAGTTGGGGGATTGTCGCTGCAATGGGTTGTACACGTTAGCGATGAGAGATTCTCACTGGGAACTGTTAACTTGAAACTGGATTCTGGCCATGCCGTGCGCTCGTCCGAGTCTGTGTATGCCGCGAGCTCTCTCTCCCTTCCGCAGCAAAATCACAATTTGCCTTGTTGGCACTCGGCTCGCACTCGCACACCAATACGGGGACTGGCTCCCAGAGCCACACATGCAACAACGCCACACTATCGCTCAACAGACACACGTACACACTTATGCGAGAGAGAGGGGAGGCATGAAGCACACACACATACGTTTGCGGAGGCACAGCACAGACACGCAGGCAAAAGTTTGGGTTTGAAATGCTTACAGGATTCTCGTGTTTTTCGCGTTTTGCTGACGTAGGCGTTGGGGGCTATCTCCACTCTGGCCGCTTCTGTTGCAGCTCCGGCTCGGCTCGGGCTAGGCTCACTTCTGGTACTGACCAACACACGTAGCAGTCGCTGTCGCTGCTTGCTCCTCTGCTCCAGCCGCGCTGCTGCCTTTTACTTTTGCTTCTCACCTGTGTGACTGACTGACTGTTGGACGGCAACGGCAAACGGCAACGTCGATGCTGCCAGCCCGATGTGTGTGGGTGTGCGTGCCTGTGTGTGTGTGTGTGTGTGTACGCTGCTACGTTTCACCGAATCCAGGGCTGGAAGCACACACACGATTCAGTTGTTCAAAGATTTCTTTCATTTACAGCACACTTTATTTCACACTGCAATATTGACACTGTACTGCTTTGTATGCGAGTTTTCACCATCGGTATCGAAAATTCTTCCCTTGGTTCCGCTGGCTGTGCAGCCCTGCCAAAAAAACCTTAATGCGCTATACAGCAGCAACAACAACAAAATTGCCACGCAGCGCCTCCTATCCAACAACAGCAGCAGCGCTGCGTTGCTCTCACTACCACTTGTTCACATGCCTGCCTGCCAACTCACTCGCTCTCACGTGGTGTGCCGACAGCCGGCTAAAGTCATGCGCTCTCTCGCTCTCCCAAGCGCCACAAGTTTATGCTTGGTGTGAGCGCGACCGTGTGTGACGTGGAACGACGACGATGTGTACACCAACACAAAGAAAACTGGTTTGTTGTTGCCATGCTCCAGTTTCCAGTTCGCGGTTGCCGAGGGCTGCATAGAAACTTAGTTCAGTTCCGGAACTGATTCAGCGGCGAAATTCTATCTTTTTTTATAATATTTGATCACAATTTGTTCACACTCACAAACACGTCTCACCAGTCTTTTATTATTAATTTAAATTGTTATTGTAAAACGCAAAAAACTACACTTGTTTGAACAATTTTAGTGTCCGAGTTCGGGACTGGACTCAGTGGCAGCAGGGCTGCTCACTTGCCAGGGCTGGAGACAAGCTCCCTGCTGCCCGCGCATGTTTAAGCTTCTCGTTAAAGGTCGAGGTCATCTGGAGTTTGCCCATTGTAATGCCCCGTAACCTATGTACGTTAGTTACAAAGGAGATTTCAAACAATTTTCGTCCTTGCTCCTGGTCCTGACCCTCATGCCAGTGGTCGCCCCCTGCTCTGGCTAAGGCTTAGCGGCGTCTATGTTCTGTTCTGTCAGTGTGGGGGACCACGCAAGCCTTCCTGTCGTACGAGCATCTGGGAGCCAGTGACAGCCTGGCTGTCAATATAAGTCCAGCCAGGGAACATATCAGTTCCTCCGGATCTCCCCCTGGAATAACCGCCTTTCCGATTGATGTGCCTTAGACTTTTGTTCTGTTCCTCCACGCAATAGTCACTCCGTTCCATTCTTTTACACCCATTCAAATCCACGATTTCGTGGTCGTGCCCCATTTTATGGTCCTTGGTGCACCACTCATGTTACACAAGAGCGACCCCTAAAGGGACCGTCCCGCCCCCTCCCAAAGGGTAATTAAATGCAATTTCCTACTCACATTACGATTCCGCTTGCGCACCGAGGATACGATGGTGCGCTTGTTGCGTGCCACCAGGCAGACCGTGATGATCAAAATCATGCCAATGAGTGCGAATCCCAGTAGGGCAGGCAGCAGCACGCTATCCTCGTCCTTGTATCCCTGAAAAGCAAGGGAGGGATGGGGAGAGAGGAGATGAAACACCACACGCTACTAGGACGGAGGACATGCTATACTTACGGTCCACTGGAAGTAGGTCGAGGGATCTATGTAGGCCCAGTGCGTCTTTATCCAATCGCTGTTACTCTTGTTCTGGCCCTTCTCCATTTTTGCGGCCTGCTGGTGCTGCTCTGCAGAGACCTGCGTCTTGGCCAGGACCGGGGGCATGATTGGCTTCTTGGCGGCCGACTTTAGCAGCGGCACCTGTATGATTCGTGTGGTGATCATGGTGGCCGGCAGATGGCGCTGCTGGCCTTGCGGTGGGACCACGGCAGAATATCCGGAAGTGCTGACTGGAACGAGCAGCTGAGGCGGCGGTGGCTGCTCTCTGGTTGTGGTTGTAGGTGCAGTTGTGGTACTGGTGCTGCTGCTGGTCTGTGGCGCCATGGTAGTGGTAGTTGTAGTGGTGCTTGTTGTTGTGGTTGTGCTGCTGCCGGGGGTCAGCGGCTGCTGCCGCTCCTCTGTTCCTGTGCTGGACGCCGGGACCGTTTTGTTTACCTTCAGTACAAACTGTTCGATTCCATTCCGGTTCACAATCTTAACTGTTTTTCCCACGCTCTGACCTAGCTGTAGCATCGGCGACCCGGTGGGCGGTGTCCCCGGCAAAGTCTTTCCAGATCCAGCTCCAACTCCAGCTCCAGTGGGTGGCCGGCTATGGGTGAGGGCAGCCTTGGTCTTGAGAAACCATTCCGTGGGATTGGGCAGACACTCGGCGGAGACCAGGAAGGGGATGAGGACAGCGCCAATGATCACGGTGCAGACGAAGATCAGGCCCAGGTAGGCGAAGAAAGAGCGCCGTCGTCGCTGTCCCGCCGCCGAGCTGCGCTTGGACGTGGCGGTGGATGACGACGAGGAGGACGAGGAGGCAGCCGACAGTTTACCCTCGATGCGGAAGTCATCGTTTTGCGGTAGAATCGTGTATTGCAGGCTGTTCTCGCCGTGACGTATTGTTTTATACATCGTGATCTCTCTCTCTGATTGCACTCTCTCTATTTCTCTCTACTCTGTCGCTTCTTCTGTTCAGTCGCTGCCTCTGCTCTAAACTACAAAAATTACGTTGGCTGCGTTTCTCTGTTGTTGTTGCTGTTGCGTTCACCAGCTAACGGTGAATCTTTCAGAAATCCCTCTGCTTCAGCTGCTGCTTCTTCTCCTTATCTCCTGGTATTCTATAGTGTGTGTGTGTGTGTATGCGTCTGTGTGTTGTTGTGTGTTCCGTTTTTGTTGTTCCTCTTCCTGCTCTTACTACACTCCCCGCTACTGATGCTTCTGCTGTCGACTGTCGACCAGGAAACAGCTAATTCTTCGTCAATTCCCCTTCTTTCCTTTCGTTATTTCTCTGCTGATTATATTGTTCCTGGTGCAGCTTTTGATTCTGCTGCTTTCTGCCTACGCGTGGGACTATTGTTGTTGCGCCTCGGTCTGGTTCCTGTTCCTGCTGCTGCTGCTGCATGCTCCTTGCGCACTAAATTTTATGTTTTTATTGATTTACCGTTTTTTGTTTTTTCGCACATGCGCGTTTCTTGTACTGACTCTTCGCTCCAGTGCTGCCAATCACTATAAGTCTATTTATTATGGAATATTGGGTGTTGTATAATGGAATGTGGTGAACATCGATGTTTTTCAAATTTTCGCGGCTCTCTGACAAAACTTTTCAGCAAATGGAAGAAGCAGGATAAAACCCCACCAAATGGAAGAAGAAGAACAACAACATCTCGGGACTGGAGGAGGGGCTGTTCGGCTGACGACACCAAACACGCAGCGGACAAAAGCAAAACCCTTTACACCTTGGAGTACACCGCGAGGAACCGCTGGCACTGACGTGTGCCGATTGCGCGAGTCCCGTGGTCCTATGCCGCGTCCTGCTGCTGCAGAACTACGATCTTAGGCAGAGGTCACAGGTCGCCCGGTTTTTTATCCGCTTCTGACTGGTTTATCCGCTTGGGCTTCTGACTAAAAATCCAACTACGATATTTTTTCCATTTATCTCTGAGAACTAGGAATTAAAAAACGAATTAATAAATGTCTATACATACTCCTTTTAGGATGTTTCCATCAAAGTACGGTCTGGTGGTTCCCAGATATTAGATCTTCCCATTTAAATAAATTGTATTTTACTGTATCCCTTACCCATACACTGGATCTTATAACTAAAACAAAAAAGCATGTATCACACGGATAATAGTATAGTTGGGGGGAGAGGTTGGGTTAGAAGACAAATTCCTCCTTGTCGGCAGATGGGTCCAAGTTGCTGAGGCAGCGCTCGAAGTGCTTGATGCGCTGGTACCAGGGTGGATCTCGGCTAGAGACTGCCTCGGGTCGGCCGCCCTGGTGACGGTAGAGGAACTCGGCGTGACCTTGGCCGGCAATGCCATTGACTGTGCAGGAGACGAATTGGTTGTAGACCTTGGACTCCCAGTCGCCGCCCACATAGCGCAGGGCGGACTCCTCGACACGGATCTGAACCAGATAGTCCCGCTCCTCGGTGCAGACGATGAAGTTCTGATGCTGGGGCGGTGTGCCCCTCTCCCCGTAGGAGTACAGCTCAAAGTTGCTGCTTTTTATGGGCTGGTAGACGCCCGCGGGGCTGCATACGTAGCCCACCTTCAGCGAGGAGAGGAAGAAGGAGGGCTGGCTGAGATTGCCCACGACCATGCTGCTGCCGTCGTCCAGGAAGAGAGCAAAGTATACGTAGCGATTGATGGAGCTCAGGCAGCGCTCGGTGCCGAAACTGTGGTCCCGGAATCCACGCAGCTGGAGATCCATCTTCTTTCCGTCGAGCTCTAGTGACCCGGAGAGCTCGCCGTTCTGCTCGTAGTGGGTGCGCTTCTCCATGATGTGGGTCACGGACCGAAGCATCCCGTAGAAGCGCTCGTTCCAGGCCTCCCTGGCTATCGAGTCGGCTATCAGGTTGGAGCTCAGGTCCCGGCTGTAGTCAAAATGAGCCGCGCTGGGGCTCTCGAACCGTAGATTGATTTGCACCGGCACCTGCTCCTCCTTTCTGGAGAGCACGCCGTCGTACTTGATCCGCCAGACTCGCATGGACTCCTCTGGATAGATGTGGAAACCCTCGCCACGGAACTCGCTGCTCTCCTCGCTGCCATCCGTCGTGAAGTGGGCCATGTCCGGCAGCCGTGGGGAGCTGAGCAGACCCTTGGAGGGCAGCCACAGATAGAGCGCCGCCTTGAGCACTCCTCGGCGGCGCCGCTCGAGGGTGACCATCAGCTTCTGGCCCTCGGCATTGGCCGCCATAAAGCTGACCACGTCGTAGCTCTTCGGGTCATCGCTCAGCTGCTGCGGCTTGTCCACCTTCGCCAGATGCTCTGCGGAGCCCAACTCCTCCTCGTTCCGGCGGTAGATGCGGTACCGCAGCTGTCGCAACACCAGCAGAGCGATCCCGTACTTGACGCGGTAGAAGAGACCCTTCAGGGGGTACTTTCCGAAGACAAGCGGCGGCTTCAGGCCCAGCAGCTTGGTGGCTAGCCCGAGCAGGGCCCCCGCTATGCCCAAGGCCAGGCAGATGCCCGTCAATAGCAACATGGTAGTGCAGGTATTTCGATCGATGGATAGTAATGCCAAGGGTGGGGTATGCTTCGCGTGTCGCTGGCTTGGCTGCCTTTACGTGACTGAGAAACGCAGCTGGAGATTACCTGAACAAATGCCCGGACGGGGGCCAGCTATCTTCGATCCCCGATAAGGCCCCACCTTCCTGCAGCACCTTATCGGGCTTATCGGACCGGACCGCCCGACCGCTACCCGCTCGAACCTTATGGGACGGGCCCGGCAATCGGCCAATTCTCAATTAATGACTCGCTTGTAAATCTGAATCTGTCTGCGATTACTCGGTTTATTGGCACCATTAGCTTACTTTCTTTTTAAAGGAAGTCAGGCTTGGAAATTACATTTCAATAAGCATTGAAGAGAATGGATTGATAGGATATATCCTAGATACTCACTAGACATAAAATCGTGCCGTTCGTGCATAATATCAATGGTAATTCCTTTTAAACGAATTATTAGAAAGATGGTGTATTCCTTGAAAACTGAGATGGGATATAGGATGGAAATGTTGTGCATTAAAAATTAATGTTCTATATGATTATCGGCTTACGCTCATTTCAATCTGCAATCTTTCAATCTATAGTTCCCAAAATGTATTCCTTCTGAAACAGAAGGAATGAAGGCGAAGGTCATCATGTGCAGCTGGAATCGAGTACGAGTATTATCTAACAGGCTTTCTGCACGACAAGAGCGATTGTAAATCTATAGCCCGAATCCGAGACCACTCGGACCCCCCATGGTAGAGCATGGAGAGCAACAAGGAGGAGGAACACTCGGGGCACAAAGGTGAGTGGTGAGGAGAAATTATTTATAAATAAATTAGCATGTGGCCATCGAGAGCGGAATCGAATGGATTTGGCTAGGCGTCCCCATAAACAAAACGCGGATAAGATTACCAAAGTATGTGGATTTTCTATCAATAAATTAAGTATCCGCAGGCCTCGCGCTTCAGTTTTCACAGTACGCGGAGACAATGACGGCAGTGTGGCTGGGCTGGCTTATCGCCGGCGACGTTATAAAAAGCTTATTCCTCAGCTTGGCCAAGTGTTTCATGTGCCAGATAGCTAGTGCCTGATCAAGTCAAGTGGCCAACGGCCACGATAGTGGCGAAGGGCGTTTCCATGGTACCGGTACCACCATAGAGACCCAATTATGCTGATGCCTCTGCCTCCGCCGCAGATTTCTCTGCCCAAATTCCGACCTGCCGCAACAACGATTTATGGCTCTAGATACGAGAAAGTTATGCGAATTATGCCTGAACCGAAACTAGACCTCAGATTGTAAAGATCTATCCACTTGAGGCCACAGAAAGCGAAAGATATAGTCCACAGATTTCACTGGAATTCGGCAATATACAAAAATTATATTATTTGAAAGATTTTCTGGAAATTTTATTATCAATATTAAAGTGTTTTTATTATTTAAAAGTACACAATAATCGACTTTGCTGTGCTCGGCTTATCAGAGATTAAGTCTTTCCAGAATTGTTGAATCATTTGGATTTACAAAACAAAGCTAATATATGCGAATCATATGTAAGCCAATTCTTAGTGGGTTTTGTCTTTCCTGCATGTCCCCCATCAGTTCTGTCATGCAGCAGTGCCCCTCGGTTGGTCTACTGTACTGCCATATTACAATAGTCCGATTTCTATTTGTCAGTTATATAATTATTTAAGATCGAAGTCCCTAAGTCCTGTACGTTAGATTCAAAATTCCAAGTACCATGTACACCATTGAGAGAGATCCGGAGCTGGAGCAGCAACAGGACAAAGGCAGTGAGACGCTGGAGGAAGGTGCTTCTTCCGCCACGATGCGCCACGATGAAAAGAGCAGCGAGTCGCTGGAGAGATGTGGTTCATTCGACTCGATGCTGTGTCCGGCGGACATGTCAGCGCGAAGCAGGAAGGCCTACCTGCAGCACATGATGGACGAACTACCCAGGCCAGTGCACAACCGAATTTTGGCTATGAAGCACAGTCAGATGGAGCAGATCAAGATTTCGGAGCAGTTCTATCGGGAGGTGTACGAGCTGGAGAAGCGCTTCTATTTGCAGTGCGCTGAGCTGTTCGATTCGCGGCGCGACATCGTTGACGGGTCTGTGGAGCCAGAACCAATGGAGCCCAGCTGGAGTGAGCAGCACGACGATCTGGTCGCCGAACTCCAGGCCAGCAAGGAGTTCCACCAGCTGACCGAACTCATGCCCAAGATGCCGGCTAATGCAGTGGGCGTGCCCCGCTTCTGGCTGAGCATCTTCCGGAATGTGTCCCTGCTGTCGGACATGGTGCAGCACCATGACGAGCCGCTCCTCGAGTGCCTGATGGACGTGCGCATCAGCTACGAGCCGGAGAGCTACACCCTCAAGTTCCTGTTCCGGCCCAACAGCTACCTCGACGACTGCTCGCTGATGCTTACCAAGAAGTACTTACTGCGGCACCAGGCCGACCAGGAGTATCCGTTTATGTTCGAGGGACCCGAGATCGTGAGCTGCGAGGGCTGCCACATTCATTGGCGCGATGACTCCAATCTCACGATGCAGACGGTCGGTAGCGGCTACCGTGTGGGAAATGCAATTCCGCGCGAATCCTTCTTTAATTTCTTTTCACCGCCACAACCACAGGACCTGTCGCTGGCCGACGAGAAGACCAAGATGCTGCTGGGAAACGACTTTGAGGTGGGCTTCCTGCTGCGCACCCAGATCGTGCCCAAGGCCGTTCTGTTTTACACCGGCGACCTTGTGGATAGCACGAACGAGGGACTCAGCGACAGCGATTCCTCAGAGACATCGGATACCGACGCCGACACAGATACAACTGCCCCTGCACCCACACACACGCCGGAGCAGCTGAGCGATTGATAATGTGTTGGGTCTGGAAGCTGTTGTATTGAATAGATAATTGGCTTACAGTAACCCGGATCTCTACTTGAATATGCTCGTGTAGTACTCCTCCTCGAGGTCGTACAAGTCCATTGCCATTTCGTCCCTCAGCTTCATGAGCTTCTTGTCGCACTCGATTTGGGTGGCCCTAAACAACTGTGAATTGTTTGTGATAGCTTCGTTGACAGAATGGAAATCGTTCAGTATTAGATACTGCTTAAGATCGGCCACCAGTTTCATCAGCGACTCGCCCGCCCGCACTGTGGATGGAATAACAATGGAAGGAGTAGTAACAGTGGGTACATTCTACACTGCTTTGCTTACCCATGTTGGAGGCGCGTATTTGCATTTCGAGGGCATCCTGCTCGCATTGCGTCGTTCGCGATATTTGGCTGTGGCTCTCTCTGCGCGCCAGCTTGAGGGTCTCTGAAAAAAAGAGCCGATACATTAAACAAATTTATTTAAGCATAAACAATTTTGAGCAGAGCTCAGCTTTGGGCCGAAAACGGGCGACCCTCTAGGACATGAGCGGCCAGTCACGGCCAGCGGTGCGTTCCCTGTGGCGCTGCTACTGCAGCAACACGATTGGCATCCTGTTTGTGGTGGATGCAGCCGATTTCGGACGCATGTCGGAGGCCTGCCGAGTGCTGTATTGCCTGATGAGCTTCAACGAGCTGTCCCAGTGCGTGGTCATGGTGTCTGCCAACAAGCAGGACCTGTACGGTGTGGTCACCGCCGATGAGCAGCCCAACGCCCTGAACCTGGTCGCGCTCAGAACTGGAAAATCCAAGGGGTTTCGGCCTACACAGGCCTCGCTCTCGCCGAGGGCTTAAAGAAGCTGTACAGCATGATCCTGTCCAATCCTACTTTATAAAATACACAATCATCTCACCCTCAAAGTTCTCCAGCATGCTGCGTACATCTTCTTTGAGGCGTGCATTGTAAGACTTGAGCAGCGCCTCTTTGGACTGCGGCAGTGTGGGAATCCGAGAGCCGCTGGCCATATTATTAGCAATAAATAAAATAGTCGCTGATATATACAGTTATGGAATGCGGCTATCGGTTTGGTGTATCGATAAAATATAAAGTTTGAACCTCAGAAATATACCGAAAATACCATCTCATTATTAAAACATACCGTAAATCTATTTTTTACAATGTACTTGACACATTTTTTAATTCTTGTGTCCCTCTTTCTTGTCCGATTAGATATTGGTTTACCAAATAGTTATCCAGTCTAAAAAACTTGATATCAAGACTTTTTAAAAAATGTCAAGTTGGTTCTCCTACTTTACTCTCTCGCTATGTAATAGCTCTGTCAAACTTTGCAGATCTTAATGCTCAATGCTATAAGAACTACACATCCCAGTTTTACAACTTCGTAAACAATAAGCGTAGAACGTCAGCAAACCCATCCTCGCTATCATTTCTTAATACGTCGGCAAATAATGATCAATCAATCGATGATCTTTATGCCTAATTTTTCAAACCACCTTTTGTGAGGAAAGCTACTCTGTTTACGTACCCGTAACAAAGACTATAACTCGCTAGTTCGTCCGACCTCAGTACAAAGTACACCAGGACCGTATAGAATCAGTCCAGAAAAACTTTTTACTCTTTGATCTGCGGGGCCTTAACTGGGATGCAGGTTTGAGAATGCCATCTTACTCTAGTAGATTGCTATTAGTAAACCTCCCATCCTTAGTCAACCTTAGCCAAAAATGCTTGGTTCGATTTTTATGCACAACTTGATCGAGGGTGACGTAGATAGCCTTGATCTGTTTAGCCGCATAAACTTCACGATTCCTATTAGATTCACTAGAAACTATGTACCGTTGTCCTTTCCGTTTTGTAGATCGAATTATTCGTTACATGAACCGTATCGGATTGAAAAATGAATCATCAATCGGATAAAACATGTTCAGGGCTGAGGGTCCTGCTAGTAATATTCAACCGGAATTGATCGATTTGCGATCATGGAGAACGATTAACGCACTGTAGACCAGTGGGTATTAAAATACACTCCATGATAATGATAATGACTTTAGCGCAGTTCATGTTTTTTAACTAAAAAGGAAGGGTCAGAAAGTTATTTGATCGAAAATATTGGACAATGGACTTTTTTATACTTTATATAGTACCAATATTTGAGTGTTTTCTAAAATTTCTAGTATTTTCTAGTATTTTTCAACTAAAGTATATAGCTCCTCGCCAGGTGTCTCTGTCGATAACTACATAAATTGTGTAGTTAGAGTGTAGTGTCCATGTAAACAAACTCATTTAGTGAAAATGGTTGTTGACCATTTTGGTTTAAACCTTATTTTGTAAACAACCTAATAACCAGAAGTTTTTACAAAAAACCAATCTTGTAAGAAATTGATTCATCAATCGGATAAAATTATGTGTTCATGACTGAGGGTCTTCGCTACTTAGTGATATTCAATCCAATATCAAAATCGAGGAATATGATTTCTGATCATGGATAGAGAACGATTAGCCCATTGTCGACCAATGGGTATTTATATACACACACGAAAATTATGAAACTTAAAGAATTTTACCCTAGTTCAGGTAAAAGATATCGTGTTTTTTTTGTTAGTAGAGAGGAAGAATAGGATGGCTGTGCAAGAAGAATTTACATACAGTGTTATTTTCCGCTGCTTAATTCAAGTGAATTCGATTCAAGTCACCTGTTTAAATTAAGGGGAGTTAAGTGGGTTAAGTTCATTTTTTCTGTGCTGAGGGCCGGTCGTCAAAGACAACAAATTTTCGATACTGCAGCTGTGGATAATAGAAAAACCTGAAAATAAGCGAGCGACGTCGATTCTACGCCTGTAATGCTTTGATGCTAAAATCTATCAGCGGAGGCGTTGGCGTTGGCGTGGCCGGGGCAGGAGCAGGTGCGGCTGCCAGTGGCGGCGGTGGTGGTGGAACTGCAGTGGGGAGCGGGACAGGTAGGAGTGGGAGTGCCACTGCGAGCGGAAGTGGAAGCGCGGGTGGTAGTGGAGGGGCCAGTGGAAGTGCCAACACTATTGGGAGTGGCCGTGCCAGTTGTGGAATCGGCTCAAATTCGATTTCCAGCGGTCTGAGCGCCGTGTGCGGATTGGTCACTGGCAGCGGTAGTGGCAGTGGCAGCGGCAGTGGCAGTGCCAGCGGGAGCGGAGGTAGCACCCCCGCCGGTGTCAACATCTACTGTCCAGCTTGTGTGGCCAGCAGCCCGCAGCAGCAGCCGCCCCCGCCACAGGCGGCACCCCACTCCGAGTCTTTCTTTTCGCGCTCAAAGTCGAGCAAGCGGCACAAGGCCAGAAAGAGCGCCTCCACCGCCGGTTGTCTGGACGCCCAGCACATTCGTAACAACCTGAGGATGTCCACCTCCAGTTCGCTGCGCAGCACGCGGGCCGTCCAGTCGAGCCACTGCAGCAGCAGCAGCCAGGCCTACGATGCGACCAGCAATGCTAGCAATGCTAGCAACGCTAGCAACGGCAGCAGCGGCAGTGGCACGGCCGCTTCTCCGGGCAGCTACAGCTGCAACGCGCTTAACGTGGACTTCAGCTCGTACACAGCCACCCACCAGTGGACCAGGATGCTCGAGTGCGCCGAGTTCGTAGGAGCCAAGTGAGTAATGACACAAGTGCATGAGAGATGTGCCCACCAATCATTAATCCCTCCGTTCTACAGGCGGAGCAAGCACACGGTGGTGGCCTACAAGGATGCCATGTTCGTGTTTGGCGGCGACAATGGCAAGAACATGCTAAACGACCTCATCCGCTTTGGGGTAAAGGACAAGTCATGGGGTAGGGCCTGCGCCACTGGGACACCGCCTGCGCCGCGATACCATCACTCGGCGGTGGTGGCCGGCGCTTCAATGTTCATCTTTGGTGGCTACACGGGGGACATCCACTCCAATTCGAATCTGACCAACAAGAACGACCTTTTCGAGTACAAGTTCAAGAGCGCCATGTGGGTGGAGTGGAAGTTCTCGGGCCGCCAACCAGTGCCGCGTTCGGCCCATGGGGCCGCCGTCTACGACAACAAGATGTGGATCTATGCAGGATACGATGGTAATGCCCGGCTGAATGATATGTGGACGCTTAACCTGACCGACGACCATCACCAGTGGGAGGAGGTAGAACAGAAAGGCGATAGGCCGCCCACCTGCTGCAACTTCCCCGTGGCCGTGGCCCGGGATGCCATGTATGTCTTCTCCGGGCAGAGCGGCCTGCAGATCACCAATTCGCTGTTTGAATTCCACTTCAAGACGCGCACCTGGCGTCGCATCTCCAACGAACCGGTGCTAAGGGGTGCCACATCGGCGCCACCCTCCCGCCGCTACGGCCACACCATGGTGCACCACGATCGGTTCCTGTACGTGTTTGGGGGCTCGGCAGACTCGACGCTGCCCAACGATCTGCATTGCTACGACCTGGACTCGCAGATCTGGTCCGCTGTGCTGCCGGAACAGAACTCGGACGTGCCCTCGGGTAGGGTGTTCCATGCCTCGGCCGTCATCGGCGACGCCATGTATATCTTCGGCGGGACCGTGGACAACAGCGTGCGCCGCGGCGACACTTACCGCTTCCAGTTCTCCAGCTATCCGAAATGCACGCTGCGTGACGACTTTGGCAAGTTCTTTCTGGACAAACAGTTTTGCGACATCCAGTTCGTGGTGGGTGTGGAGGAGGTGCGTATTCTGGCGCACATTGCCTTTGTGGCGGCCCGCTCAAAGTACTTGCGCAACAAGATCCTGGCGGCACGCGAGGCACGCCAACAGCAGATGGAGAAGGTGTACGGGGTGGGACAAGTGGATGCGCAAGCGCTGAACACGGGCGTAGGCGGGGACCGGGCCCCTATGCTGGAGGTCCGACTGGTGCATGCCTCGCCGGAGGCCTTTGACATTATCCTCAACTACATATACACTGATCGCATCGACCTAAAGGATCGGTACAACAAGAACATTATCATTCTAATCACAGATATTTACCAGTTGGCTGGGCTCTTTACCATGCCGCGGCTGGCCCACGGCTGCATTCAATATCTGGATTTTAAGATCAACAAAATCAATGTTCTAGAGGCCCTCTACAATGCGGATAAGAGCAAGTAAGTTCGGGAATCGCCCGGACAACCGGATAATCTTCTAAGCCCCCTAACCGCCCTCTCTCTTTTGTCAGCATCAAAATTATCAAGGATCACTGCATGCAGTTTATCATCAAGGAGGAGAACTTCACCGAGGTGGTCATGTCCAGCGAGTTCAGTGACCTGGACAAGCCCCTGCTCGTGGAGATCATACGCAAGCGCCTCCATCCAAGCAAGCTGGTAATGGACACCAGCTTCGAAGCAAGCAACGGTAGGGGGGCAATCGAGACTCATTAAAGTTCCATTACTAACCAACCAATCCACATACCGGTAGGCACCACATTGGAGATTGATCTGTGCACGTTCTTGAAGTCGACCGGAAATGATTTTTGCGACATCAGCCTTATATTGGAGGACCATGTGATACCGGCCCACAAGTCTGTGTTGTCGTCACGCTGTACCTATTTCCAGGGCATGTTCCGCTCGTTCATGCCGCCGGATAACACCGTCAATGTGAGTACCAATACCAATCGCCCGAGCTGGGCTCCGACCACAACTAATACCCGTTGTTCTGTTGCAGATACAAATTGGAGAAATTTCACCCTCGCTGGAGGCGTTTCATTCGCTGCTCCGCTACATATATTACGGGGAGACGAAGATGCCACCGCAGGATGCCCTGTACCTGTTTCAGGCACCGTGCTTCTACGGTCTGTCCAATAATCGGCTGCACGCCTTCTGCAAGTACTCACTGGAGCATAACATTACGTACGAGAATGTCTTGCAGACGCTGGAGGCGTCGGACATAACAAAAATCTATGACATCAAGGAGTATGCCCTGAAACTGATTGTCAAAGATTTTGCCAAGGTGGCGAGGCTGCCGAAGATCTCGGGTTTGTCGCGCGAACTGTTGCTGGAGATAATACGCGCTGTGGCCGATTCGCAAGGCGAGTTTCTGACCAGCATTAATATCAATACAGATATCTGAAAACTAGTGCTGCTACAGCCGGCCTTGCAGTTGTTGCTCGCCTGGTTGCAAATCGGACGTAGCACGTAAAGCGGCAGTAGCGGTTGGCAGCGAAACACGAACCACGAAACTAGGCCTCATTTAAATCAATGAAACAATGATCCTCGATCCCACCCATCCAACCATCAACCATCGATCGTTCCATTTAACCATAAATACATCGAATCCTGAAGTCTACTCCCCTTAAGAAGAAGATGGCAAAGAGAATGTCGGACAGAAAGAGAAGGAGCGAAGATCCATCCGACCATACTTACATATATATATACTTATATACTTACTTACCTATTATGTACACTTACTTATAATATCCCCCCCTACCCTATATTGTGCAACCACTATTTTGAATACCCCCACGCACCATCACCAGAGCTAATCTCAAGCTATGCTTATACACACCTTTTTGCCCTATATATTTATATTTGTAAGCTCAAGCCTAATGTCCAGGCTCAAAGCAGAGAGAACAAAGAGGGTGGAGCCGCCGTATATATGTCCAGGCTCAAAACTACAAGCAGATGTCTGTCTAAGCAGTTGTCAATCTCATTATTTGTATGCCCTTGCAAAGGTAAATCTTATTCCCCCACCCCCAATGTGTCCTTGCCCCCTCCGTTTTCGTGGTAACCGAGTATTAGATGAGAGTGTCGTGTCCCCATGTTTCCATGTCACATCTAAGAACATATCCTCATGAGAGGTAGCTCCTAACCGAGGCCTTAGATAGATTGAAGCTTTTTTATATCTGAATGTTTTTGCACTGCTAAACAAATAAGGAAACATTTTATATGAATCGGTAAACTAAACGAAGAAAAAACGAAAAAACGTAACAATTGACGTGTCATGGGATGCCGCAGAGTTGTGCGTCCCAAAAAGTAGGCTTTAGATAACAAAATATGTAACTGGTTTGATACTAAAAACAAACAAAAAAAACCCGATGTACTGCACTTGTATGTTGTTTGTGATTACGAGGACCCATTCGATTGACCATGACATATAGCTGCCATAAGAATAGAGCATAGAAAGCCTAACCAAAATGAGTTAGTTGTATGTCGACAACACACTTGTTTGTAACGAATTCCACATAACGAAGTCCACATAATGAAATCAAATTCGATATAGTAGATAAACCACACTTTTATATATAGCACACACACCCAAACACAAACACACACACGCACACTCACACGGAGAATGATTTGAGTGCAAGGGAACCTTTGCACCTTTGCAAGGGTATGCGTCTGTCTGGCCTACTACCACCTACTACTACCCCTACTTGTTATCCTATACTCCCCACTATACTCTTACCCAAGTACAACTTACTCGTTTATAAGGATCTTAAGCTAATTGTATGCACTCGTATATATACAGGTATATTGTATATATATCGTAAAAAGGACACAACCTGTCACCATCCCAACCCCGCCACAGAGTCACCGTCACCGCCAGACTTTCCCCCCGGCCCACACATACCATCGTCCGGCTAAAAGGAAGCGAGAGAAAGGAACAGGAGGTGACACAGTGTTAGTGTTTTTTGCCAAAAAGTTCTTATGTCAATTGCATAAGCCACACCCCCCCCCCACGAATTCTTGCCCTCTCGAATTTTTGGTTTCTCCCTTGACTTAAATTTTTTAGGTTTACATTTTTTGCGTAATTCAACGAGACCAAAATTGTGATAAATCTCTTTGCGTTCTACGTTCGGATTGTCTGCGTAAACTCTATTGTTAAGCAATATTTGTATAGAATTTTTTGATTTTAATTTATTTTTGGAATATTTGTGTAAGCCAAAAATCCATCCCTATCCTCTTTATTCCCTCATTCCTTTATTACCTTATTACTTTCCCAACCATATACATACATATGTAAAATGTATGATGATTTTGCTCCGCCCCAGAGTTTTTTTTGTTTTGTTTAAGGTTGGTACGAACAAAGTTTAAGTATAAACAATATTATAGTATGAATATATACACTGGAAATATACAGAAAAAGGTGAAATGATGTATGCTAAATGGGAAATTCCATCCTCTGGGGCAGGAGACGGAAGACAAAATGAAATTTAAGACAAACAAACTGGGTCTGCGTTTTCTCGTTTTTCGTTTCAGACTTTCCCCAGATGCTTGGTATAGATAAATTAATTTTCAATGGAATTAAAACAAAACAAAAGCTGCAGCAAAAGCTGTAGAGGAAATTGAGATGGGTAGTAGGAAGAGATTTTAAACAGAGCCTGGATCTGGAGGTGGGCAGCAGGAAGAGACCCAGACCCAGTGTCGCCTGAAGCTGAAGATGAGTAGTAGAGATGAGAAACTGGAGATATTCTCTTGGATGAAGTACAACGAGGCGCTACAGAAGGGGGCTGTACGCGACAATAAAAGCTTTATGTGGACAACCATGGACAGGACCTGGGTTAAGACAAATCGAGTTTTTGCCTCATTCCGAGTAAGAGTTCAAAGTGCTTGTCCCAATGCAAAAGGATTGATGTGAGTAGCAGCTAAGGCCGCGATTCTACATTTATACCCGGTACTCAGTCAGTATGGCTCCCCTCCGCCAGAGGACGCACACTGAAAGAGGAAGAATGTGCGAGGGAGAGAGAGAGAGAGTGAGAATGAATAAGCGTATGGAAGGCGTTGCGTAGCCACTGCAGTTTAATTTGTGCCTTCTCGCTATAATAGTATCTTCAAATTTGTGAATGTCACCGATTTTCATCTTTTCTGGAGGCGGTAGCTGACATGGTTAAATTTTGAAACAAACTTGATTCAGTGTGATATCACCGGAGTCTGGATACAAAATTTGGTTGCTTTAGCTCTTATAGTCGCTGAGATCTGGGCGGTCATCGGGACGGACAGACAGATGTGGCTATATCGACTCGGCTATTGATGCTGATCAAGAAAATGTGTATTTTATGGGGTCGGAAACGCTTTTTTCTGGGTGTTCGCCATCTAATATACCCCTACAATCTTGGAGTAGCGGGCAAAAAAAAGGTCGAATAGGTACATGAAAATTCCACTTGCAGATACACAAATACAGTAAGCCTCCTGGCAGCGACAATTTAATTGAATTGGCCTCGAAACAGTGTCAATTAATTGGGAACTATTGTCAAGGTAAGGCCTTGGTCCTTGCTCATCCTCGTTCAAACAGAAAATGAAAAGGAAAGGAAACTGAAACCACTCGAAAACCCTTTTGGCGCAGCTTCGATACTACATCTACCCTTAAGCATCGTTCTCCAGCAGCCTCCAACCCTCTTTCTAAGCCAAACAAAACGAAACAATTCTAGCCTGAAGGAATACCAGGACAATGATTGAGATGGGGAATGCTTGCTGTCAATTTATAAGTTCATAATTTAGGCCAACACAACCCAACAACAACAACGAACGCCGATACGAGTGAATCAGCTATATAATACATAGGCGCCATATCCATGGAGCGGATCAGGATGCAGAGAGTGGGGTCGATTGGCTCGTTTCATGCCTTTTAATATCCGTTTCATCTAGATTTATGCGCATCAAGTTCCCGCTGAGCGACGGCACATAAATTTCCTAGCAATTGAAGCGGCTCCATGCCCACACACACAAACAAGAAACAAGCAAAAGAAAAACAGCATCAGAAATGGGAAACTAAAAGGCAACCCCCATCCCATATCCTGTATCAAACATCCCAGAGCCCTCTCCCATCCAATCCAAATAAAAGGGTTAACAGAAAGGGGTTCCCGGGTTAGCCCCAAAATTGACTTTTGGCATTTTTCAAAGTTTTCTCTCTCGGCCACTTATTGATGCTGACCGTTCGATTAATTTATAGCGATACGAGTATGTATTCCGCCCTTCTCATAAAGTGTCATTACAGTGGCCGATGCCTGATTAAAGTCATCAATTTTGGATTGGATGGGGAGGTGGCAGAGTGCTAGCAGGCTGGCTGCTGCTGCTCCTGATCCTCCATGCTCATACCCAGACTGGGGCACGACCTGCACCGAAGTTTAATTAAAAAACTGCACCCCATTCTGGCCCTCTTGCATGTGCACCTGTGTGCCGCCTGGCAATTGAGGTTTAATTGACGCCCAGACAGACAAAGCTGGAAATGGAATGAAATGAAATCAAATAAAGTAAGAAAATAAGAGGAGGGGTATATGAAGTGGTGTGCTCAGGAATGAAAAGCTTGGTTTTACACAGATAACTTAATGAAAACATTGTTTATCGCTAGGAAAATGGCAAGGAAAATGGAAGAGTTCTTATACATCCACTTTGTACATATGTATATCTATATATATTCGGGGGGAAATCTTCCTTGGGCGAAAGACTGCAACTCTGGTAATACTCTATAAAGAGTTGCAATTCGACGAAAACAGAGCCGCTTGCTCGAAAAAAACGTGAAAGCCTCATTTACCACTTCTTTAAACCTTTAAACTTTCAGATTAGTTATCATTTTCCTTGTTAATAAAAACAATCCCCAACCCGTTACACGTCGCGCGTCATACAGCAGCACCCTTCGATCGATTGGGATTCCACCGCTTGTACTTTATCATATCAATCCTTCTGTCATTCCAACTGCACTGCTTGCTTATACCGCTTTGAATCCATCACAGCTCTCGACTCTATTGCACTGCTTATTTAACCCACTGAGACCACTGTACATGCGTCTAATTGTTTGTCTTCCAACAATTTCTCACTCGATATCTCTAAATGGTGGGGAGGGGGCAAAGCCATTCCACATTGACATCCAAAGGAGTACAGTCAGCGCCGAATCATTTAAAAGCTCATTTGCAAGCGAGAAATACCTACCAGCCACGCCTACACTCACTAGTAACGGCCCACGGAGGCACACAGAGGGCCTGGCTGGGCTGCCTGTGACATTCGCTGAAGGACACGAACAGTATAGAAGCTCTTCAGCTTCTCTGCTTCCCCCGCTATCTCTTTCTGGTTTTATCTGCTTTATGGGACAGTGACAGTTTTCATTTAACTCCCAGCTATGTATGCACATAGGTGTATCTGGTTTGTGTTTGCGTGAAAAGGTTAAAGTTCAATGCAAATGCTACGTCAGTTGTGATAAGGCCAGCTTTGGCCTCGGCTTAGCCATCAGCCTCCGTTCCGTTTCGTTTCTTTCCTTCCCAGGCTTTGCATGTGTGCGTTCATTTTCAACTTTGATTTGCTCCTGTGATGTCAACGCTTTACTTTTTCATATATGTATGCCCTTCCATATACGTACAAATCCCATTGCATGGCGAGAAATGAAGAGGTGCTGACATCTAACAGAAAGAAATTTTAGTGTGGTCAAAGGTTGTCCTCGCGAGTCTCATAGATTGATTCGAATTCAATCGATTTCGCATTAAAATCTACTCTTTTATTTTAAACTTGAGCGCCTCAAATGACTTTACTAGCTACTGGTATATGGTATTATAATCACTAAAATATCTTTTAATATGCTATAGAGTCTATGGCATCGCAGATGAGTTCCTCTTCTCGTCTTTGAGAGTATTATCCATTCATAAAAGGATAGTTAGTTTATCCAGTTAGGATTTTTTTAAAATTCCGTTGGCAATAAATATACATATATAGTAAATCGACCACTTTTAGCTAGTTTTTGGGAAAGTACATATTCCATATGTCTTTTTTTCTCCAGTGTAGTAAACGAGTATCTCCCTCGTCCTGTCATTGCTATGTGGAATGACTTGGCTCACGTGTAACACGAAACCCGTCTGCACTTGGCATCGTGTGCTTTATGGACCAGATGATTGCGTGCTCAGCGTAGGCTCAAATCCGATTCGGCATGGCAGACACGACTCCGCACTGGATCCATGAGGGATCCATAGATGGGACGGGGGGATGAAAGCACGCTGTGAATCAATATGGATGGAAGCCACCTCGTGAGGCAATCACCTTGTACCTGTGCCTGGCATTGCCACAATCAAAGGATATTCCTCCAATGTGTGTCACAGGAGCCACCGCAGTGCTTGCAGTGCGTCCCAATCTTTTAGTCCTTTCCCCATTCAGGATGGTAAAACAAACTTTTCAATCACCGCCAACGTCATTGCCAAGGCATTAAATGAGAAATGTAGCAGAGTAAACATGCAGCAAATGCACAGAACAGCACAGCACCAAGGAATTCCTGGTACACGTAAATGGGGGAAATTTACGGGGGTTTCCCCCAATGCAATGGCAGTCAATCAGCGAGCATTCAGCGGAAAAAAAATATAGTAAAACTGCAGAGCAAAGAGAAATGGAATCGGAGAGCTACAAAGAGACATTGGAGACAAGTAAGATGGAATGCCCTTTTAAGAATGCTCCCGATGTATGGACATCGAACAGAACTAGTGAAGGAACATCATTATGATTTGAGGAAGCTGTAAGGCTGAATTTGTCCTTAAAGATCTTCCCAGAGATAAAATTTACTGCCAGACTTGTAGGTATGGGGTTACCTGTCTTCAAATTCCTCTCCCGAACAGGTATACCCAAAGCCGAAGGAAGGGCAGCAGATCAGGCGAAGCGTGGAGCGTGGTGCTGCTGGGTCTGCTGCTGCACAAGATGCAGACATGTCGGCAAACGCTTTGTGGGGCAGCTAGTCGGCGCCAAAGGGAATGCAGCGAAGGACCAGAACAGAACCAGACCGAGACGTATATGGAGTCAAATAGGGGATGGATGGAAACCAGGGAGCAGTTGAAAAGTGTGTGACAAATACAAATCACTTTAGATTTATTTGATGAAATTGTTTGATGATGTAGAAAAGGATTAACGCCAATGATATTTGTGTAACGGCGCAACGGAGCAACGGGGCAACGGGGCAACGGAGCAACAACCGGTGGCAATGCCAGTGCGCTGCTGCTGGCAACCAGCTGGCAACCTGCTGGCAGCTGTAAAAATTGATTCACCATGGAGATGCGCGATGGCAATGGGCAATGGCATTGGAGACGAAGATGGAGCATGACAGAGCGCTTAATGATGAATGGAGTCGCCCGTTCCGTGTTTCGAAGGGGAGCCAAGTGCAGGAGAGAGTGACTTTAT